GTTTGTTACCTGTTCATGTCAGCGTGACTTCCAGCTTCATTAAGACTTCAACATACTACTTGTACCACTAGAAATGAGTAATTTATTGGAGTATTCCGATCAATCTAAGACCTTGTAGCCTTAATGGATGTTCTTGTTAAAGTAAGAAATTGGGGTTATGGACAATTAATCAACTGTGTTGTACAATGTATATCATTTGTTACATATAACTGTTCGAGTGTTTGTTTAGATGATTTTCGTGCCAAAAATGCATCGTATGTCACATGAGCCTTTTTCGTACTGAATGGAAAAGGGTATACTTTGAATAAATATTTATTGGTTATGAGGGTAGTTTTACCGTCGTCATAGTGATCTCATTGAGATATAATCTATATCTTAGAGCGATATCAAGCTAGACGTGTTTGATGCTCGTTAGTTTGCTTGTGCCGTGTTGTTTCCCTTGTTCTTACGTAAAATCACTTACATGTACTTCGATTGACCGAAATTTATATGGCAAGTGTCGTCAATGAAGCAGATGGCGCTTACCTTTCCGGAACACTTGGTCTTACTCTCCATGTATGTTTCCCCGTGCTTTAAGATGACACCACTAAGGCTTTGGCTGTCATCAGTTATTTTGGTATATCTGGAACGTTTCTATTCAAGCACTAGTACATTGACATCGCGGTACCACCAGGAAAATCCCGAGCGTGGTATTTCGGTATATATATATAAATATAAACTTTATTTATTTTACAACAATTGCGAAACAAGTTATGTCAACTTATACTAATCACTCTTGTTGGCCCGGATGTAAGCGCGCGAGGGGTCTTATTGTGGGAGGAAACCGGAGTACCCGGGGAAAACCCACGTGGTCCGGCAGGTGGCCCCTTACCTTTTCACGTCCGTTCCGGGAATCGAACCCCGGTCGGCTTGGTGAAAGGCGAGTGCGTTAACACTGCGCCACCGGACCACCGTGGTATTTCGGTGTTTGTTGGATTTAGAATAATGCATAAGTCAAGATAACATTCTTCTTCAGTGGTCTGGAATAAAAAGAATAACACAAACTGTGATAAGAAGCAGGAGTCGGGCAAGTACTTTGTAAATCTTTAGATACAGTATAAGGATGTGCTTGATTTCACAGTATGGGATCTGTACTCGCCCAAACGAAGACAGTAGTGGTGGCGTTTCTTCGCGAAACGAATTAGGAATAAGTTGCAAAATTTTCGAGATATCTGACTGATGACAAATAATTCGTTAATAGACACCAATCTATGTGTTCAACCAGCCTTAACAAAGTTTGCCATTCAACAAACCAGAATGTGTTCAGATAGGTGGCAAAGGGGACTTATTCCTCTATTTAAAATGATCGTATAGGTAAAATAATCATTCAAAAGACAAGGTTGTGTAACAAAAAGGAGAAAACAAACTTATGCGGGTTCACATAAATTGATTCAAGGAAAGAGGCGTTTGTTAACACGAAATATACAAGTGTATAGGATTCTATATGATGGGAAAAAATAAGGAGATACCAACATGTCAACATTATCATATTCCATGCTGAAATTCCATGAATAAGACCGGGTGTTCCGAAAGAGTAAGCGTCTTCTGCTTCATCGAAGACACCCGCCATGTAAACCTTAGTCAATCCAAGTAAGTAATGTAACGTTCACAAATGAGAACAAGGTATACAACAATGGAACCAACATGCAAACCAACGAGCATTAAACACGTTCATTATACACAAAGAAATAGAATTGTGTTTTTTTTTTTCTATCCATATCAAGTATAAATATTAAAAATATGGCATATGTTCCGTCAATCAAAACTTCTTTTAAAGTATGCCGTATAAATGTAAAAATTGACTGTACAGGAAAATAATTTTGTTTCATCAACCATAATAAAAACGATCTGTGTAAAAGATAGAAATACCACTTCTACAGCTATTCGGAGCACAGCATGAATACTACAAGTATTGTCACTTTGTGAAATATCCCATTTGTTTTGTCATGTCTGTTCAAGTATGTCTTCGTTAGATAATAGGACATTTAAGTTGTCTGTCGTCTACATGTACATAACTAGTTTTCATTAATAATGCACATATTGTATTCACTGTTATAGCTACAGAAAAAAAAAGAAATAGCATTATGTAATGACGACCATTAAAACAAACAGAGAATAAACAAGTAAACACAACATTTGTCAGAAAGAAAAAAATATAACTATGATAATAATCAAAAGTGGACATAACAAGGACGAAGCTTTCAGCAATATTTGCTATGATATCATTTGCTAAGTAAACTTGTAAACGCGACAATTGAGAAATTTTGAGATTTGCTTTCACATTATCTTGCAGGTTTTGTGTTTATACTGATAACGCATATTGTTTCATTTACACTACAGACTCATTCAGTCGCTAACCTCGGTGGTAGGTTGCTAGCCAATGAGGTGTAATTTTATATATTAAGTAGCAGACGCTCAATATTCCGGTACATCTTGTAATCCCCGCGTACTTTTTATGCTCGTTCAAGTGTCCTTTTGCAATGTTTGCCCTATAAAATGGCATAGACAAGTTTCATTGATATCTAAATCATAGTTTTAATTATATCAGCGTGATTTCAATCCCTTTCCCTATGCCTTGTGTTTCACCATTAGTATATGTATCATATCTTTCCTCACTGATTGATAAACTAACGGTCTTATACAGCTTAAAAGATGTGACTCAAAACGAGTCTAAATAGATTTCATAATGAAACACCATTTATCCAAAGTCCGCTGGCGACCTCTAGTGGGGAAAAACTGCTTCCTCTACACTGTAAACACATTACTATATGTATTAAGTATCCAGCTATACCCAGTCATGTTTTGCTGCGGGTCTGAAACACAACTAGAATGTTAATTTGATAAAGGTAAATTACTTTTCAACAATCTGATTAAAGTCAGCCGTTACATAGCATCATTCACTATGTACGTCAGAACGCCGATGTTTAGGCGATGCACGTAGTAAACTAAGACATGTAATAAATGATTTTAATCAGACTAGCTTCTCTAGATTCTATTGCTGACAGGAAAGGTCAATTTCACTCTCAGTTTCTCTTACCACCAATAATATGAAGCCTTAGCAACAGCACTTCCTTGTCCTCTGACGTTTCGTGGAAACGATGTAGGTGTAACTGACTAGTCACAGTGCTCATTTAATTTACATTAACCATATATACAACGTACCATATTCTTTTCCATACATCGCCATTTCATTCAGTTTTAAGAGGTGATCGATTTTGTGGGTGTGGTGAGGAAGTCATTCTGTATATCCTTGTTTTAAAAGAACATTCTGTTGTACAATCGTGCTTTGATACACTTTGCTCTGTTCCCAATTTTCCAATGTTACTGTCTGTATAACGAGTAGCATGTGTGTACATTTTGTTTGAATGAGTAAAGTACATATGCATAGCGCCAGTTGTACAGATTACGTAGTAGAAATCTGTCACTATGGTTATGTAGAATATTTCCAGCTGTTTTTTCACTACAACTTCAAACATCCTTTTTTGGGTATGTCGTGGTGGTGAACTGGTAAGGCAGTTGTAGATTGTCTTTTCTTGGCAATTTTGTGTCTTAATTGGTGAACTAAAGATTCTGGCTGGGCACAAGTATAAATCTATACCTTACTCAAAAACCTATAACACATACAAATGGACAGTGAGGTTGAAAATTTGTGCTAGGTCCTTGGTCAGTTGTCGCGTCATTTCATATTGGAGCTACGTTTTCCTTCTCTAAAATTTGATGCATGTACCACTTTATCAACTTTCTAGTCATTCGGACCGCTTAACCTACAGGTCAACATACAATGGATATATATATATATATATATAATTTTTTTTAATCTAGAGCAAAACTAAAATTTATCAAGGTAGATATTACTTCTTGGTGTATAGGTTGTATGTAAACAAAGTGCAGTAGATTATTCAGTTGGGAAATAGACCAATTAAAATGAAGTATTATATCAGAAAAAAATATTGTCTCCCTTTTCTGCCATTGGTAAACATAAATCAAAGTGTTCATTTGATGTATAAGGACCTATAACAGTTCAAAAATTGGATTTCCAAAAGATAAAAACAGATCTCAACTGTACAGCTGGCCTCAAGGAAGACTCGGTACAAATAGATTTGAAATTTAATTGATCCGAACTCATTCCAATGCCAGTTGAGTAGTTTGTTGAACCTAACTAACAAACAGCAAATATATGACGAATCTTCACTTCTATGTAACACACAATATTTCAAACAGAAGCCTATAAATCTGTTCGGTAAAAATGAACACTTCACCGCCGAGAACAAAATGTTAATTAAGTATTGATTGTGTCGTCGAGAAACAGTATTTAACGTATAATAAAGTTGTAAGTAGTGTCTAGAATTTAGAGTTCTTCTCATGTCATCTTGAGTCTAACTTTGATGTTCGGAAACGTTGTATCTCTAAATCTATGAAGCAAAATACTTGTCATAAAATTTAAACTTCAAAAATCAACTAAGTAATCATGCATTATAGAACATTTGTTTACATGCCAACACAGCCTAAAGCCTTTCTAGCACTTTAATAACAAAAGTCAACAGCACTGCTCGATGATGGTTCGAGGTATATTAAACACATGCACGGGACGTGATGAAAATATGAATAACAAATGATTAGTTTTCGTGGTAGGAATTTCAGCACATTTCAGGCGGTGTGTCAGTTACGTACAATAATAAGCGTTAATTAACCTCCGTGCCGTGTGGTAAACGATGTTATGGATACCAATATGACAGAATGTTATCGGCCGTTTACTAAACAATCATATACACTGTCTTTATGTGTTTTTCAGAGGTGAAACAATTGACGCCTATCGATGGACATCCGAATCCGCCAGAGTCATATTTCCTGTCTAATTAACAAGCATACTAGACATCCGTGTACTACAGATTTAGTCCTAGCTGTCCTGTGATGTGTATGGGAGTATTGAGCTGTAATTTAGTAGCACAACATAGCTTGAAAACCCCAGTACGAATAATAGTGTGGAAATGACAGACTCGGGAATTAAGAATCACAGACACACGCTGTATTGACATCCCACGTCACATTGTGCTATATAAGTAGCAGGAACTGTTCATTATCCATTCATGACACAAGCATGAAACACCCTGGATCAGCGCAGCTATGACCAATCTCCCTTAAGAGGTATCTACAACTCTCCCGTTCCATAGAATCTTGTGAATGATGGCAACTTCGACGGTATACGACTGGGTGACACCGGACATGTCCACAACGTCCACAGACATGCTGCTGGACATACAAAATATTACCCTGAACTCGGCCAATCAGAACACAACTTATGCTACTAATGTGACTTTGCCGACCACCGGCCGGAAGGTTTCACCCGCATCAACAGCCGTGCAGTTTACATTCGGAGTAATAGGGAACTTGTTGGCTATTTTTGTGTTGGTCAGGTCTGCAAAAAGTCACAAATGGCGGGTATTCTACCGTCTGGTCGGTGCACTTGCTGTGACCGATCTATTTGGAATCGTGGCAACGTCTCCGGTAGCCTTCATCGTGTACGCTAACAATCTTAAGTGGGTTGGCGGACAACCCCTTTGTGACTATCTCTCCTTCATGCTCATATTTGCCGGTTTGGCCACAGTGTTCATAGTGGCAGCCATGTCGCTTGACCGTTTTGTGGCCGTGTGGTTTCCTTATTCTTACAATGTTACCATGAAGAAAGCGTCACTGGTCAATTTAGCAGTGGTCAGTTTATGGGTGGTATCTATTTCCATCGCATTCCTTCCTCTTATAGGCCTCGGTCAGAATGTTTTGCAGTTTCCAGGTACCTGGTGCTTCTTCAACTTTTTCGGTACCAATATCAGAGACAAATTCTTTGCCTATTTTTATGCCACTATAGGAATAATAATGATATTTTTAACAGCTGTTTTGAACTCGTTAGTTATTTTCATGTTAGGAAAGGCAAACAGACAGAGCGGAATAAGACGAAAGACGAGCAGTGTTGGGTCACGCAGTGGACGTTCACGGCGTAATGATGTGTTTATCATGATCTTTTTGGTGGTGTTAATGGTCGTATTTGCCACGTGTTGGACCCCATTAATGGTATGTATTCGAATATCGTCGGTTTTTGTAGCAAACAAAAATTCGTCTTTGAAAAATTCCTCATTGTATGCGCATGAAGTTAAATCTCTTTTTTTGAACATTTTCTCGAAAAAAACTATATCCTATTTTACTTTACATCAAATGGAACATTTTTTTCTTACGGAAGTTTTGCTTTAATTTGATAGTCTGTTTCCGTCCTTTTTTCTCGCAGAAAGCGTGTAAACTTTGTGATTTTAACCACTCATGTTAGAGACTTAGAGTCATTCTTAACTATAAAGATGCATTTGATATGAAACACCAAGGTGATTCATCGTGTTTTACAAATACACAGACGAAATTTTATAGGAATTGCCAGAAGTTGGGAGATTTATTACTCAACGGTTTCTCAACCTAAGAAGTAAACCTGGTAATCTTAATTATGTGGTGATAGTAACAGATCAAAGTTGAGGACAAGACGAAAGCTAATGATAAGTCATTATTTTAAATAGATAATGTTGTCATAAGAGCAGAGGACTTTATTTTTAAGCATAACTGAGTCTGTTATCGAGGGAAATGGCTTCCCAGTTTTTGCCAAGAGCTGATAGTGATTTGTTTTAATTGTCTCTTAATAATATATTTATGTGCACAGGGAGTATTTTATTTATATACAGTATAGTCATGTGTTGTCCTCGGAGACCAAACGCCGCCATACCTATACAGAAAAATCAATAAATGGTTCAAATATCCCGAGTGAATCCATTAATCAAATGGCACAAAAATAGGTCACGTGAGAAATTTAAATACATGGTTGTATCTTAATAATCAAATATATTAATATGTGATGAACCGCTAAAGAGAGACTATATCAGTTTTCAAAAAAAAATCTGTTTTAGAGTATAGTTTCAGCTGATAAACATGCGTTCTTTATTTCAGATTCGTATTTATATTCTGCAAGGTAGCCACACTCCTTCCTCTTCATTAGATCGCCCTGCCGATCTGTTAGCTCTCAGAATGGCCTCCATTAACCAACTTCTTGATCCTTGGGTCTATATTCTGTTGCGGAAGGAAAACATGTTAAGGGTGATAAGGTTGATGGAAAGATTTCGGAAACACAAAGGTTTTAGGTATAAAATGAATGTTATTTAACCGGATTGTGCATTTTAAGGTGTATGTGGATGATGTATTGCTGTAGTGATACTTGAGAAGTATAGTCAAACACGAATGTAACATGTAAGTACCCGTATGTTCCTCGCACTGGTGTGATCCCCTAGTTAGTACAGATATCTATTTATCACGGTAAAATGGCGGAAGTCTCTTCCATCACAGGTTTTGGTTTCATTTTTAAAAGCTTATAATTGTCACAAACAGCACTTGTGAGAGGAAACGTGATGATTGACAACGGTTTGAACAAGAATTTGAGCTATTTCAGTCGACATGGTGAAATTATCACATGGGGAAACGGCTTATGATATTGTAGATTAAGACAAAGAGGTATAGAAAAGTAATTAGAGACGGGAGTGTTAATATGGAAAGGGAAATTAAGTAGAGGCAGTTTATATGGATTCATTGTGGAAGAGTAAGTTAAGACTGGGCGGTTTATATGGTGTAGCGAATTCAGACTGGCGTGTTAAATTCGGACAGGGGGCATATATGGTGTAGTGAATTCAGACTGGCGTGTTAAATTCGGACAGGGGGCATATATGGTGTAGCGAAATCAGACTGGCGTGTTAAATTCGGACAGGGGGCATATATGTTGTAGCGAATTAAAAGACTTAAGTGTTAAATTCGGACAGGAAGCATATATGGTGTAGCGAATTAAGACTGAAGTGTTAAATTCGGAAAGGGGGCATATATGGTTTCGCTAATTCAGACTAGATAGTACTTTGCACTTATGTGGATTCCTGACGGAATAGTGGAATAAGGCTGGGCGGAATAATCAGTTATTTACATGGAATAAACACGTAGCTAATTATCACGATATAGTTTATAATGAAATTATAAACCAAGAGCTGGTTATATTTATTGAATAGTGAATTAAGAATCTATGGTTTACTTTGAACAGTGGATAAGATCTTGCCGCTCAAGTATGATGTTTTACACAATATCTATAACATGTACATGGTGAGATTCAAGAGTATTTATAAAATAGACTTTCGCTGAACGATATATAACATACCAAAGGGGAAGCAGGCGTATGTATATGTTTCAGTACAGACAGGGGGATTCATGAGATAAAGGTGTGATTATTGTAGATAAACATCTGTAAAACGATATAAAGGATAGATGTGGGCATTATACCATAAAAAACGCTTGACGATATAACACGTAACCCGATGGACTTATAAAATAGAATAGTATGTATTAGCAAGAAGTCACCAGCTTTTTAGTGGGTAACAATGAGTCTGGATGAGGAAGACAGACATAGTAACAACGAGTCTGGATAAGGTAGACAGACATAGTAACAATGAGTCTGGACGAGGTAGACAGACATAGTAACAATGAGTCTGGACGAGGTAGACAGACATAGTAACAATGAGTCTGGACGAGGTACACAGACATAGTAACAATGAGTCTGGACGAGGTAGACAGACATAGGAACAATGAGTCTGGACGAGGTAGACCGACATAGGAACAATGAGTCTGGACGAGGTACACAGACATAGTAACAATGAGTCTGGACGAGGTAGACAGACATAGTAACAATGAGTCTGGACGAGAAAGACAGACAAAGAAACAATGAGTCTGGACGATGTAGACAGACATAGTAACAATGAGTCTGTATGAGGTAGACAGACATAGTAACAATGAGTCTGGACGAGGTAGACAGACATAGTAACAATGAGTCTGGACGAGGTAGACAGACATAGTAACAATGAGTCTGGACGAGGTAGATAGACATAGTAACAATGAGTCTGGACGAGGTACACAGACATGGTAACAATGAGTCTGGACGAGGTACACAGACATAGTAACAATGAGTCTGGACGAGGTACACAGACATAGTAACAATGAGTCTGGACGATGTAGACAGACATAGTAACAATGAGTCTGGACGATGTAGACAGACATAGTAACAACGAGTCTGGACGAGGTAGACAGACATAGTAACAATGAGTCTGGACGAGATAGACAGACATTGTACGAGTTAGTATCGGCACATCACTAGCTTCCTACTAGGATATAAATAATGTTGTATATGACTGCTTGTCCCGCTTTCGGCGCAATATTTGTGATTTTCCCTGCAATGTGCTTGTTCCCAATCCAAGGCTTATGTGTTTGTGTTTTGTTATTATTTGACCCTAGCACCATTCTTTATACGTTGATGACTGATCCCTGGCCTTGATACCCCAGTCACCAGTCAGTAAATAGAGATCCATCTGACCTGATAAGATATGTTGATACAATTCCTTGTAGCTATCCCAACAGACAAAACCTGCATGTTTCGCGTAACACTACAGCGGTATAAAATGAAGATACAAGGATGTGCATGCCTATGAGGAAAGGTTTTGATAAAGCGTCTAATGTTATGTATTTGCATGCTTATAAAAAAAACCGGTACTTTATGATTTGCTTGTTAGGATTTTTGTCTTGTCGGTGCAACGGTACACAGTGGAGGTTGTGAGAATTTCGACAGGTTTATAAAGAACACACTGTATTTATGGATCACAGACTCGTCTGTCAGCCATGTGTACTAAATCAACATGATTACAGTTTGTATAGCCGTGCGAAAGGATAATACATAGACCATTTGGACACGCTGTTTGATGCTGCTATTTTCGTTCACAAATTTCTATCAGCATGTTGGTAATGAGTATTCAGCATGTCTTCATTTTGAGCTTATCAACAGAAAAAAAAATACAGCGATATTTTGCCTTGTGCTTTGATATCGAGTCCTTTGTTCGTGGTTGCAATGGAATGAAGGTCGTTTTCATTTAAAATGGACATAAACCAGGTTATAATGATATTTGAATATTTTGGGTCCACGTGTAGAACCAGGTCTTCTCGCCCTATGATATGATGTGTAGCATTATAGTGGGGGGTCGTTTCGTCTTATGATAATCCCGGGTCCCTGTGGAGAACAAGGTCATCTCGCCCTTTAGTCCTAGTCCCTGTATAGAGCCAAGACATCTCGACCTTTCTGAGTCTTTGGTCCCCGTGTAATATAAGCTTATAGCGTGCTCTTTGATTGTCTTTGGTAACACGTGAAAAGCCAGGATTTCTCGCCTTGTCAAATGCTTTGTTCCCTGGAAAAGATGCTTATAATAATGATAAACTTTATTTATTTTACAACAATTGCGAAGCAAGTTTTTCCAACTTATTTCAATCACTCATGTTGGCTCGGATGGAAGCGCGCGAGGGTTCTTAGTGTGGGAGGAAACCGTAGTACCCGGGGAAAACCCACATGATCGAGCAGGTGACCCCATACCTTTTCATATCCGTTCCGGGAATCGAACCCCGGACGGCTAGGTGAAAGGCATTTTTTGTGTAGAGACCGGTCACTTAGTGCATCGACATTATCGGATTACCATCTTAAAGCCCCTTTCATTTCACGTTTATGTCACATTGCTCGCGGTAGTCTCAGTATCCCAGATAGTTTCAGGTCGTCTCGACCATTGATATTTATTTATCACAGTGTTGAATGAGAGCATCTTCCACTATGACAATCATATGCCCCTCCATCTAGAAAATCCGTATCACCTTTTGGTAATCCAGGATTATATCTAGTGATCTCGCCCTACCATATATGCAGTCTCTGTTGTGTTATCCAATGTTCAGATAGTCTCAGATTGCCACTTAAAGTCATGTAATCTCGTCCCGTCTCGGGCTCCCGTCGAGAGACATGTCATCTAGGCATTCGATGGTATTGACTTTGCCAAAGCATGATGGTGTAGTTTTTTACCAAATCAAAGCAAGGTCCTTTTGTCCTCTGAGGATCTCAGACTCCGTCGTAAACAATAGACTTATCTCGCCCTTAGGAAATCTCTGATCCCTGTGTAGAATCAGGTTCTTTCGGCCTGTTACAGTAACTGGTTCCCGATTAGAGGCAGACCATCTCGGCTTCCAAAACCTGTACAAAATACACACGAGAGAATATCACTTTAAAGTCACGTGTCTCTGTGCAGAGTTGGGTAATTTCATCCTAAATTCGTTGACTCGGGTATAAAGCCATGACCCCTTCGTTATAGAGATACAGAAAATCTCACCCTAAGGTAGTCTAGAGTTTCTGTTAACATACAGAACATCTGGGCTGATGAATAAATCATTTCGCCTTGTTAGCATTCTGTAAACACATCTGATTGTCGTGGTTACGGTTACATAATCATTTGATAACAGATAACGCCTGCCGTCACGACCTTTTTTGTCATGTCAGGTAAAAGCTCTAGGGACCTCTTACATTGAAGTGGTATTTGTAGTCGAAATACATCTCCGGGATCAGTTTTCTGCATTTCAATATAGGTTGCATTAAATAAGATACGTTTTGTTAATGAATGAGTTGCCTTAACGTATAACACGTGTGCTCATTACTGTAATGGACTAATGGCGATAGAGGAACTCCGAAGTAGGATACATATAGGGCGTGACATGAGTTTCCATTCGAATTTATGCGGATTTATAAAGCCATTCTAAATAAGTGGAAAACATTATGACGAGTTTCGTAAATCACACTTCAAACGGAAGTAACTTCAGATTGTTTTCATCACGTGACCGATTTTTTTAAGTAGAATCATCACGATGTCATCCGTGAATGTGTGACGTCATTTTATTATCGCAGGTGACGTCACAATAAACTGAATTGCATACGCAATCCTAACGTTTTTGTGACAGTGGTATGCATGTATTTTGCATTGAAGACACACATATACAATCTGAACATGAATTTGGATCAAAGCATGGAGATTTGTCGACAGAGAGTCTATTGTTGTTGAGTTGGTCTTTTCGTCTGTTGGTATTTCATGTGTCGAAAACGTTTATCAATCTTAAAAAATATTTCCTTCTCCTTCTCGTTATTATAATCATTATTATTATTATCATTGTCATTATTATTATTTGAATTAATTGTTTTCTCAAATCACTAATCTTCTTTCAGAATATGATGACCTACCGTTTCGTTCTTCATTTTTTCACGATCGTTAACTTGCTGTATTTTCCAATTAGAAACAAATCAATATTCAATCAATACACGACAGCTGTAAAAACTTACTAATCAACATTTGTGTCATTTGATGATTGTAGGTGAGAGTAATTATAAATCAAAGTGGCGCCTATCCTGTCGACAATATGTCCGATTTGATGGCTGTTCGACTCGCCTCGATAAATCAAATTCTGGATCCTTGGGTGTACATCCTTTTCCGTAAAGAATTCCTGAACAAACTGCTGCAGTTTGGAAAACTTCATACACAACCCGGAAGTCTGTTTCATAGATTGTCAAGTACTCGCTCAAGGACCGGAAGTGAAAGGAGCATGACGGATGATGTTTTTGAACAGCCAGCCACAGAGTGTGGCGAGGTTTTATTAGAATCGTCAGGACAACAGGAAACTAACAAAAGTAATGGAGTAAACGGGGACTTCAAAGAAAGCACTGCCTGACTTGTGTTGTCTTGGTCAGATTCCGATATCAATACAATTCCTACCAAATTAATTCATTTAACGACAAAGATCAACATGAATATATGTTACAGACTTTAAACATTGCATTAATTTCAGAATACGAATGAACGAAAAACTGCACTCGTAAATAAATATTAATGAAAATTGATATCTGATACACGGTGATGTGTGGTGACAGTGAGATGATACACGGTGATGTGTGGTGACGGTGAGATGATACACGGTGATGTGTGGTGACGGTGAGATGATACACGGTGATGTGTGGTGACGGTGAGATGATACACGGTGATGTCTGGTGACGGTGAGATGATACACGGTGATGTCTGGTGACAGTGAGATGATACACGGTGATGTGGTGACAGTGAGATGATACAAGGTGATGTGTGGTGACAGTGAGATGATACACGGTGATGTGTGGTGACAGTGAGATGATACACGGTGATGTGGTGACAATGAGATGATACAAGGTGATGTGTGGTGACAGTGAGATGATACACGGTGATGTGTGGTGACAGTGAGATGATACACGGTGATGTGTGGTGACAGTGAGATGATACACGGTGAGGTGTGGTGACAGTGAGATGATACACGGTGATGTGTGGTGACGGTTAGTTGATACACGGTGATGTGTGGTGACAGTGAGATGATACACGATGATGTGGTGACAGTGAGATAATCCACGGTGATGTGTGGTGACAGTGAGATGATACACTGTGATTTCTGGTGACAGTGAGATGATACACGGTGATGTGTGGTGACAATGAGATGATACAAGGTGATGTGTGGTGACAGTGAGATGATACACGGTGATGTCTGGTGACAGTGAGATGATACACGGTGATGTGTGGTGACAGTGAGATGATACATGATGAGGTGTGGTGACAGTGAGATGATACACGGTGATGTCTGGTGACAGTGAGATGATACACGGTGATGTCTGGTGACAGTGAGATGATACACGGTGATGTGGTGACAGTGAGATGATACACGGTGATGTGTGGTGACAGTGAGATGATACACGGTGATGTCTGGTGACAGTGAGATGATACACGGTGATGTGGTGACAGTGAGATGATACAAGGTGATGTGTGGTGACAGTGAGATGATACACGGTGATGTGTGGTGACAGTGAGATGATACACGGTGATGTGGTGACAATGAGATGATACAAGGTGATGTGTGGTGACAGTGAGATGATACACGGTGATGTGTGGTGACAGTGAGATGATACACGGTGATGTGTGGTGACAGTGAGATGATACACGGTGAGGTGTGGTGACAGTGAGATGATACACGGTGATGTGTGGTGACAGTGAGTTGATACACGGTGATGTGTGGTGACAGTGAGATGATACACGATGATGTGGTGACAGTGAGATAATCCACGGTGATGTGTGGTGACAGTGAGATGATACACAGTGATTTCTGGTGACAGTGAGATGATACACGGTGATGTGTGGTGACAGTGAGATGATACACGGTGATGTCTGGTGACAGTGAGATGATACACGGTGATGTCTGGTGACAGTGAGATGATACACGGTGATGTGTGGTGACAGTGAGATGATACATGATGAGGTGTGGTGACAGTGAGATCATACACGGTGATGTCTGGTGACAGTGAGATGATACACGGTGATGTCTGGTGACAGTGAGATGATACACGGTGATGTGGTGACAGTGAGATGATACACGGTGATGTCTGGTGACAGTGAGATGATACACGGTGATGTCTGGTGACAGTGAGATGATACACGATGATGTCTGGTGACAGTGAGATGATACACGGTGACATCTGGTGACAGTGAGATGATACACGGTGATGTGTGGTGAGATGATACACGGTGATGTGTGGTGACAGTGAGATGATACACGGTGATGTTTGGTGACAGTGAGATGATACACGGTGATGTGTGGTGACAGTGAGATAATACACGGTGATGTCTGGTGACAGTGAGATGATACACGGTGATGTGTGGTGACAGTGAGATGATACACGGTGAGGTGTGGTGACAGTGAGATGATACACGGTGATGTCTGGTGACAGTGAGATGATACACGGTGATAAGTGGTTTTGAGATAGAAATGAGGAATGATGTACGTCATTGTTGAGTGGTAAAAGACGTACACCTGTCTCCTCTAAAACAATCTACTTATTAAAATTCTAAGTGTAATATATTGTACATATATCAAATAAAAATCTGTATATTTGTAATAACGGGTTGTTTTCTTTTTCTCATCATATAGCACTTTATTTCATTAAAGTGGCTTCGTCATAAGCATCTCTAAAACATGAAACAGATATCGTGACCAAAAATACACGGCAAATAGCATTCGTTTAGAAATCCACTACAAATATCCCTTTATATCACTGCGTCATCTAGAATTAAACACAACAAATATCCCCTTTATATCACTGCGTCATTTAGAATTAAACACAACAAATATCCCCTTTATATCACTGCGTCATCTAGAATTGAACACAACAAATATCCCCTTTATATCACTGCGTCATCTAGAATTGAACACAACAAATATCCCCTTTATATCACTGCGTCATCTAGAATTGAACACAATAAATATCCCCTTTATATCACTGCGTCATCTAGAATTGAACACAACAAATATTCCCTTTATATCACTGCGTCATCTAGAATTAAACACAACAAATATCCCCTTTATATCACTGCGTCATTTAGAATTAAACACAACAAATATCCCCTTTATATCACTGCGTCATCTAGAATTGAACACAACAAATATCCCCTTTATATCACTGCGTCATCTAGAATTGAACACAACAAATATCCCCTTTATATCACTGCGTCATCTAGAATTGAACACAACAAATATCCCCTTTATATCACTGCGTCATCTAGAATTGAACACAACAAATATCCCCTTTATATCACTGCGTCATCTAGAATTGAACACAACAAATATCCCCTTTATATCACTGCGTCATTTAGAATTAAACACAACAAATATCCCCTTTATATCACTGCGTCATCTAGAATTAAACACAACAAATATCCCCTTTATATATCACTGCGTCGTCTAGAATTGAACATGTCACTTTATTTGGCCTGAAATCATCAAAATATTTTAACACAAAGTTGTGTATTGTTCGTGTTTCGACCAGTAAATACGTGTTACGGAGATGCATTGCCGCTACAGCATGACTAGATTGATCCATTGGTGTAAAACAAATCAAGTTTTGTAAGATTGTGACTTCAAGTGATCACATTGAGCTACCTAGAACATACCACGGGAAGGAGACTGAACACTAAGCGAACTCTTGTCGCCTTTGTGATAAGATTATTTTGTGAAAGCAGTCTAATTAATTGTTTTAAAGACGAAGATTTCTACAATAACTATGTGTGATAAAATAGAGGTTGAGTTTTCATCAACTCTTAGCGTAATACATTAATCCTGTTACAAAAGAGACGAAGAATGTAGCTCTTCTGTAGCGACATAAATCCTACAGATTCTACCACAAGAACAATGAGAATAGATTTAAGCTCTGACAAAGACATGAATTAATGGATTAAGCATTTTACATATGTTTGGATATGATTTTGTTCAGAAACTTAATGAAAGCAGTCTCAGGTGACTGGTTTTTTACACCAAAATAGAACTTTGAACTAGATTATCCAATAAAGAATATTTGATCCGACAATGTAGCCGACAGGATTCCTGATAAATGAGGACAAAGGCACCATGTTTTATGGAAAATATACTAAGTTATATAAGCAGTGACTTCCGATTTAGGTGTAAAAATCTCTTGTGATTGACGGGAATGCATCAGGATTCATATCAAGATATGCATAATTCATGTGACAATATCAAAATATAGTTATTCTGCGAGGATAAAAATTTAGAATAAAAAAGGTAACTGCATATTGGAACAATATACGCCCTTCTCCTACCGAAGAAATTGATTTATTTGTATAGGAAAGGATACAGATGAGGATAATGATAATAATGAGACCAAATATCATGAGGGAAAACAGTACTATATTTTGAATGATAAACAGACGGGAAGGGGGGGGGGGCTGAAAAAATATTTTGACCAGCTGGAAATGCTGAAAATAGCAAAGGGGAATATTGTTTTCAAATTTGGTCACATCAAAATGTTGTTTACGAGAATACGATTCCATATTAGTTAAAATTGAGTGACGCAATATTGTTTATACTCAAAAACATAAAGGAAAATACAAACATTTGTAAGTGGAATTCGTGAGAGTATTTTAGAGAAACCACTGCTTGGATGGACGGACTAAATATGTATTGGACAATATTTTGTCAACACCTGGAAAATTACCAGTATAATCTTTAGGTTTGTTTTATATATACAGTGTTACTATATAGTTAAATCAACAGAGAAATCAAGCGATAATGTCCGTCACCTAATGTCCACAGATAGACCAACTCATGGTAGTATATGGCCCCTTTCATGTGTCTCCATACCATCCCTCACTTCATGAAGACGAACGAATTAAACGGAAAACCGTATAAGGGGAGATAATAAAGAAAATCCGAAAAATACCATCACAATTGTGGAAACGCACACCGCTAAAAGAAATCGTTCGTACATCGAGCATACAGCGAGTACACGATGGACAGACAATGCGCGCGGATTGCACATCGTGTAACGTTATGAGATCCCACAACTGTATTCAAGGTTATAAAAGAGTTCAGATATAGCGTGCAGTGTCTGTGGACGATACTCGATCTTCTTTGGTTAATCTTTTGTTTAGTTATTGGAGGAAAATTCAAACCTGCCAATTAATCTGATGTATGTTGTTATTTATCATACAGACTTAGAACCACGCGAATAACTAAACACAGAGGTTTCCGCAAGGTCAATAGTACACAAAATCCACAGTATTTAACAAGGTACTGCAATTGTACACATTAGCTACAACAGAATTAACGATAATATCCATCCCAAAAACGAAACAGCCCAATTACAACATGATAAAAGTAACCTGGATCTTCTGTCTTCCTTTATCCTTTAACATATAACATATTACCTGACTGACACCAATAAATCTTACCTACAGGTAGAGTCTCAATGATCATTGTGTAACGACACTGATTTTAAAAAAAAATTCTTTCTGATCATAAAAACTCAAACAACGGAGCCAAAGAAAGCGATTTGTTAATATAGTTACAGCATAGATCTCACTAGTTCTATGTTACTAGCAGATCATTTTTAATTATGCTTAGTGTGAAATCAATTTTATGCACATAAAATTAATGCGCATTTGGCCCGTTTCGGGCGATAAATATCATTAGTTCAAAAAGCAGCTGTTATATGCGCATTTAATTCACAAAGCAATAATTTCGTAGCTTGTGGGTTTTAACTGAACGTGATTAGAATCCAGAATGCTTGTAGAAAAACTCAAAGTAGGAATATAAATATTTGATGACTTGTTAGAAGTATGAAATATCTGGCGTGTCATTAGATCGGAGCCTTCACTGTCGTGTATCCGTTAAGAAATTGTCTTCCCAAGATGGTAGAGGAAGACGGACACAAAAGGTAGATTGTAACTTTAAGCTCTAGAATTGCTGGTTTCAGAACACAATCTGACCGGTGCAAATACCACACCAAACTCAGAAATACTCTAAATGTATATTTCAGTGTCTGTGTGTTGCAGTTTTTTATCTTAAATTATTGTGAGCCCTTCGGAAAGTTGAGCAAACTGTGGAATTGAGCATCGAGGAGAAATTCGATGAGAGCTGGAGAGTCTCCTTGACAATTGAATTAAACATTTGACTGCTTAAATATTTCAATATAAGCAAAACCTCTCAGCGAACTCCGCCTCGATGCCAAACTTTACGAAGGGCTTTCATTTGTTTATGAAATAAACAGCAACAAACAAATGCTGAAATGTGAATTTTGAGTATTCCTGACTTTAGACTGGTATTTATCCTCGTCAGATTGTATTCAGAAACCAGTGATTTTGCAGCTTCAAAGGAATGTTTTGTCTGTCTTCTTCCGCCATCTTGAAAAGCTTAATGCGTATACGACACTGGTACTAGTCCTCTGTATTAGCCATCTTTGCCTTATTTTGTCTCACGTGCCGCGTGCAATCTGGAACAACAACGTATAAATTTCTATCTGTACGTTATTGTAACAGGTGTTGTGGTTTTATTGACTTAAATTTCATGAAAATATGCCAATCACTTTCCTTATGCATTCTAATATGAATAAGTTCAACGTTGGCATGGACATGGATCGTCGAAAGAAAATAATTTATTGCTGAGCATTAACTTACTACCTATGGATGCCGTTAAAAAATAAAATATATGGTATGTGATTCAATTATAACCAGATGTTGTCGCAGATCTTCAGAAAAAAAAATGTTGTTTTCAGAGAAGGACGGGTGTGATGAATCAATTAGTCGGTACTGCGTTATGTAAAAGTCACATGCTGTGTCAAAATGTCGTGTACGTAGTTGCAAGGAAGACATCCTCGTTGGTCCAAACCTCACAGGAAGACCGCACCAACATACGTAATTCGTTAGCAGAACAAAAACAAAATGAGAGATCACCACTGACAAACAGTGTGAAACTTCCGTCATTAACACATGTTTGATAGAAAGAGTAAAACAAACAACACATTTTTCCCACATCGATAATGGTAACCTTTAAAACAGTCCAGGAAAGATTCATATACACCTAAACTATAACAGCTTTAGAGGTCCTGTAATTATATTAAAAATTCTTCTAGAAATCATCCAATCCATCTATAAAATACTTCAAAGTTTACGTAAAAAAACCTACGGAAGTGTACAACAACTTTAACTATGAGTTTGCCT